AGCTAGCAGGCTCGCACATAGGCTCCTTAAGAGTTGCACATGATGTGCATCGATTCGTTTAGGAGAGAGCCATTAGCTCATCAACTTTTGAATCCTATCTACTCAAGTTTGTCTGCCTTGGCATGCTGGCACGTACGGACACGCGCGGCACCGATCAACGCAAAGAACATGCTGCTTTGGGAGTAGGAATACGGGGATTGCGTGGTGGATGCCTCGCAGGTGGATGCAGCACCCCTTGCAGCCTCCCGGTGCCCTCCCCTGTGCCTTGGAGCAAGCAAGTTCTTGTTGCTTGGAGAGCTCATGCTGGGTGTGAGGCACTTGAGCCAGGGATTAAAGACGTAAGCCTTTGGAGAGGACAGCGTATTATTGAGACGTAGAGGTTCTCATGCTGGAGACGACGGTCGCAGACTACAGAGGCTTTCAAGAAGAGATTTCCTGTAAGGGCAATGGAAGTCTCCGTAGAATGAACAGAAGGCGGTCTGCCACAGAACTTGGCACTGTGATCATGTGGAACCCTAGTATAGTACCCTAAATAGTAGGACCCTTATTATAAGGACCCCAAAACAAGGGTCCCCCTATTTTCGGAAACTCCCATGTGCGACTCAGCCTCCCTCCGATCGCCAAGGCGTTCGCCAGAGGCCCGGCGTGTTGCAGCTTCGAGCAGTTGCGGCGATCAATAGGGTCATATGAGTCCCCGGGTGCAACTTGGGGTGTCGGCTTCCAGCCTTAGGGAAGTCGACCGGCTGAAGTTGAAGGAGGTCTCAGGGTCGAGTTTGAATGCTATAGTCTTTCCTTCATGGGGTTTTTGGGTCATGGGAATCGGTGATGACTGTCTACTAAGTCTACTAAGTTCGGAGCCTGTGGTTGGCGCGCGAGTTGGCATGTTGTGCATGAACTGAAGGCATCGGCTCGGGGGCAGTAACGCATGGCCGAAACGCAGCTGATGCACAGCAGCGCCCAACATCGTAGCGTAGCATCTTGCACCCTTCAACGACGAGGCCCTGACCATAGCTTTGTTGTCGCGGTAGGCGGAAGAGCTTCGACGGGCGCTCCGCCGGGAACTTGTCTTGCGTGTTCCTGTGGCTTCTGCTGATGTAGCTGCTCTCTCCTAATGCAAACTGCCCTAGAGCTGGCTCAAGTAAGTAGGCATCCTGAGTCATAGCCGCTGTGAGCTTGAAATTCCCGTCTGGGTCTGGGATCATGTTGGCTGTTGTGCACTGTACCGGTTCTCGTGCCAAGTAGCTTTATGCAGCATTATTATACAGCAGGCACGTACATGTTTTCGTCTAGCAGCAACGGCACAATTGGGATTGCTGGTAGCAAATCTGCCTCAGGGTTTGGTGTTAGTAAGATCTATTTTGACGAGCTCACGTGTCATGCTCAACATGACCTATGAAGCAACAAACAGCAAGAGAAGTCAATGCAGCCGTATATTTCACGTTTGCATGCACATTATATTTATAACGACCATCCTTCCGACATTTCGGAAGCCGAAGCTGGACCCGAAAGCTCTACTGCCCCCCCCCCCCCACTCCTTCAGATCAGATACTTCTGTCGCCTAAGCTGAACCCGAAAGCTATTTCTGGACGGCCACTTCTTGGCTCCAATGCGTACCACTGTCAGATGTGGAGACCAGAAGTCGATGTCTCACTACCCATACTGTAGGCCCTACAGTAGTTCCTTTTTGGGGTTCATGTATAGAATCCTATAGGTAATCCCAAAAAGGAACTACTATGGGGCCTATGGGTAGACGTGGAGGCACCCCCCAAAAAGACTTGCACCCATGGCTGAAAGATGTGGATGACAATGAGCCTTTCAGTCAGCCCCTGATGTGAATACTCACTCAAACAGTCGCCTATCCCCCTAAGCCCTAAACTACCAAACCCTACTTTTTTGTAGGTTCCTATTATAAACCTCAATATGGAATTTATAGGGACCCTACAAAAAAGTAGGTTTTGGTAGGCTAAGGTAAGCCCTAAACCACTGAACCCTGTCTCGTCAAACTGCCAGCTGTTTCACCGACTCAAGCTCTGCCCTGCGAAGATCGCGGCGGAGATCGTTCCCCCGAAGGGTTCAAGTTATTGTAGGGGCCCCAATAATTACCAATACTATGTCGGAGGTTCCGTATTACAAGTATCGTTTAAAATTCGTATCTGGTCGGGTCTTCTTCAGCAGAAGCAGTTGTGGCAGCTGGAAGCTCATGTCGGGGGTTTGGAAGGTTTGGTGGTTGATAGTGCAGCTGAAGGCGGACAGGTTGGCAAAGCGTTTAGGAATTGGTGTTACCCTCAAGTGAAGTACCGTAGTAGCGAACCCTTTTGCGAAGCATGGCATATCAACCGACACATGCAGCCAGCAGCACAGCCTTAGAGCAAAGGTTCCGTGAGCATCCAAGCATTGATCTCAAGCCCCCGGCCGTCTCCCCATGGAGCCAAAAGTGGCGGCTCGGCCCAGCGCCAGCAGCCTACGAATTTCGCAGTGGTTCGCGGCTACGGCACGGCAAGAAGGGGGTTTAATTTGAGGGTTTGATTTCTTGAGTTCGAGGTCGAACTTGAAAGCCAAGGCCGAGAAAGCTTATAATCAGAGTATAGTATATTGAGTATATTGGGCGTATAGTATAGTAAAGCATAGTGTATTATAGTATAGCATAGCATAGTATAGTATAGCATGGCAGAGTATAGTAGATTAGCTCTCAGGCCGTTGAAAGAGAGTTTGGACGTGGGAGGTTCGCCTGCTGTCGTCGGATGCGTGGCCGTTTGCGTGCAGGGCTCCGCACGCCAGGGTCAGAGGGAGGGGACACACACACACACACGCACACCCAGTTATGGGTTCATGGTTCGGGTGTTAGGGTTTATACCCTAAACATCCCTAAACCCTAAACCCTAAACCCTATGGCTTGCTGTCAGGTTCACGACTCGCCTGGGAAGGGAGCCTCGGCACGAGGAGTCCTAGACCGTTGGACTTGATGCCGCAAGATTTTGTGGGGTCCAGGATGCTCGGGGGAGGGCAGTGACTGTTGGGTCGTAAAGCCTGGCCCTAGCTACATGGTCTTAGTGTAAGCCCCACAAGCAGCACATGTGCTTTGCCAGGGCAAAAACTCGACTTCTCCCCGCAAAAGGAAGCCCTTTTCGCCCGAAGCTCTTACTTCAAAACAGTTTGGGCTTCCGAGTTTGTGTTCAGAGGGCCACAGAGGCTATTTGCCGGATCAACAGCCTTGTGGCTTGGGCAGGTGCTGAACCCAGCCAGTTGGATGTTTGAGGTTTTAATGTGTCACTTGCACCCCAACCCCCACTCGCCTCTGCATCTACTCGCTCGAAGCAGCTCGCTTAAGTGCTTGTTTCACTAGCCTCATCCGTGTCCCGTGATGTGCCCAGGCGGAGATGCCCATCCGAAGTTGACTGAGCCCCGCGTCGGCACGCAATGCGGGGTTCAAGGCGACGTTGAAGCCATCGTGAGGCTGAAGCTACAGGACATCACCTCCCATAAATCACCTCTAATGAAACATTGCGGGGAGAGAAGGAGTTAGGACGACCACGACAACGGCGGCGACGACTTCGACGACGACTACTTCTAATGACTTAATGCATTCCACTGCATCTGCTCTACGGAATTTTCGTATAACAAGTAAAGCAGGACTTGAAGAATGATTAGCCTTCTGATCCGATAGCTCTACAACGAACAGCTCTTGTTCGTCGGGCTCGTGGTTGCTTGGTGGGGCATTATCTGGAGTGTCGAAGGCACTTGTCTTGATTTTCACAAAGCTGCTGAACCTGAACTGTAGTGCTTGTCCGTTGCCTCCTGGGTGAAGCCTTCTAGAGGTAGACCGTCAACAAGTGGGCCCAATCTTCAAAGTGTTTCTCCAGCCAAGGAAAGCGAGCGTTCTCTGGCCGAATTTGCTCGGCAACGAGAAACTCTCCAGCAAGGCACCACCAGGGATTCCAGACAAGTCCCTGAAACAATGTTGCTCAACTAGTGTACAGGCTCTGCCCCAAGCCCAAACCCTAAACCCTAAACTCCAAGCCTAAACCTACATAAACCCCATAAACCCTGGCCCCTGCCTGAAAGCTGAAGCTCGAAAGGGTCGCTAGTTTCAGGGGCTGTTTTGAGCCGTCCTTCCGAATTCTTGCCTTGGTCGGTTTTCTCAGAGAACATGATGATCCTCATGACTATGTAGAGATCAGAAACGCCATAAAATATATTAAAACTACTAGTAAATATGCAAATAATAATAGCAAGAACAAATGACTGCTATATTTAACCACAGCAAAAGCAACAGCAATAGCATTGGCAATCGTAAAAGCCGTAGAAATAGAAATATGTGTATCAAAAGTAACAGTAAAAGTAATAGCAACAGTAACCGTAATAACAATAGTGTAGTCATAGTAATGATACTGGTGATGGTACTGGTGGCAATACTAGAAAGAAGAATAATGAGAGCAATAACAATAAGAAAAATGATGAATGTCACTCAAAACTCTACCATCGTAAAAGCCAGAAGAAGCATGCTTGTCACACTAGCAACTTCATTGTTGTCGCTGCGCCGCAGGCCCGCGCAAAGACACGCAGCAAAGCTCGCTGCAGATCGCTGCCCCGATCCCTGACTTGAAAGCCTACTAAAATTCAAAACCAAGGAGCAGCTGTGGAAAATCGAAAAAGCCAGTTGCCTCGCATCTCTGCGGTTCTGAGTAATTTTGTCGTGCTGAGCTGTTGGGAAGCAGGGTTGCGTGTCTTCTCGTGCCAGTGCTAGCATGTTTCGAGTCCATATGGGCTTTGACGGGACCTTGGGTCTCCGGGAGTGGCGGGTCACCTTGGTACAAACAAGCGGTGGTTTAGACTACTTTGACTACTTGAGGCTCGAGAGTCTAACAGGCTATCAGGATCCCCAGCAAGTTTGGCAAGGGAGCAGTGCCATGCTAGGCCGCTAAGCACGCACTACACAACGACACAACGACCCTAAACCGTAAGCACCACTCTATCACAAGTTTCCAGAGTGAAACACCCAGGACCCACGTCGGCGCCGAATTGCACACCATGGCGAGCTGCACAGGACTTCGTCGGCTTTAGATTTTTTTACTAGCTCCTGCTCATCCTTTTCCTCTTGCTACGGCTGCTGCCACCACGACGGAGGGGAGAAGGATCCCCGCACCCCTCAGTGAATCTCAATTCTGATGTCCAGAAGAAAGCTCATGCAGGATTTATGTCGTTCGCGTGGTAATATTAATACTCAGCATTTGTAGGTGAGCGGCCTGTGTCTTACAAACTTCTACAGATTTAGATCTTTCACCGTAGTATGCCTAGAGCGACTGAGCATCGGGCATGGTGGAGTCCAATGGGGCTCGGAGAATTTGAAGATCGTGGGATTCTTGATTTGTACCATCGCTTCACTCATGACCCGAGCTGATCCCTGAGGAAGAGGCCGACATTGAGACCAGCAGGGATCTTCCCCAGAGAGGAGGCGTGAAGCCTGAAAGTTGTCGACTATCGATCTTACTAAATAGCAACCCTTGCGTTAAGATTCCTAAGGTTGATGCTCTCATCTGCTATTATTGCGAATATGAAGCTTGCTTGAAGCACGGACTTTCCGAGTTATCTAAATGGCGTCCCCAAGTCCCATATACTCAAAGTCTAGGATCCGGGCAGAAGCTACTCTTGGAGACCCCAGTCTCGAACCATCTTAAGTCTCAGAGGGTTCCGGCATTGTGCTTCTCCCTTTTTTTGGGAGGTACGGGGCTTGAACTCAATTCGGGGTCCATTGTAGAAGGTCTCTGCCGTTGAGAGGGGAGTTCCCTATCTGTGAAACTCCCGTACAAGGATGTGAGGTTTAAGGCGAAAGATCCGAGACGCTTCCCGTAACGACTCAGTCCAGAGTTTTGGTCCGTCAGGGTGACTTGGAGTGGCTTTCTTGCTAGAGGTCAACTTCATCTTGACTGAAGATGCCAACTAACGACGGCTTCTGCCTCTCTTTGTTCCCGCATCTCGCACCAAATTTCCCAAGGCCCTTTGGCACAGCTCCGGATTCCGGCATCGGCTTCTTCGGATGCCACCACCGTTCGAGAGGACCTGGGAGACATACCAGGCGGGGCTCATCATTCATAATCCAAGAATCGGAGGCTGCGCTCATAGTCAGCAAGAACTTGCTGCCATATGTGCAGTGTCTCTATATGAATCTATATTGTGGTTACACAATATATCTAAGTGTGAAGACACTGTTGTTCAGGTACTTGTTGCTGAAGAACAGAACAGGGTGGCTTGGATAGCTTGGTGTCCAGCGCGCTTTTGCAGTATCTACTCAATGAGCTGGTGATTTCCTAGAAATGCCAAACCATGACCCCTCATCTTGCAATGCCCTAAACCTTAAACTCTTTAAGCCCTAAAGCCCCGAACCCCTATCCAGGCGTGGAAGAGATTCGGGGTCGACATGCCGGAGTTGCCTGGACCTGCCCTCCTCAAGGCCCAAGGCAGGGTTGGGGGTTCAACGTTTACGGAAGACTGGCTTTTTGGGTTTACTTGGAGGTTCTTGGGAGTTATAGGTCGGGTTATAAGTGGGTAACTATAATCATAACCCTTATTAGGGGACTTATAACCCCACTTACAAATTAATTAGGGGATTCAAAGGAGTTTTTGGGAGGACTTGATCTGAGACAAGCTGCCGAGGCTTTTGAGAGACAGGCCCGGACCTCGGAAGCCTGCAATCCTCACCCGGTCCAAGCCGCCAGACAAGGGTTTTGAACCCTAAACCCTAAACCCTAAACCGTTTTTGTAAAGACATAGAAGGAGCCCGATAGAGCCTGATATTGCGAATCCTATACCTCCGGAACCCCCGACATTTTGGGCCCTTAACACCAAATTTAGTACACCTCAAAAAGTTGGAAGCCAGATTAAGGACAAATAGTGCTGGGATTCCCTATACATTAAAGCATTGAGGCTAGTGGGTTTCCTACTTTTGTGCTTCTACGATTGAAGCATCCAAAACCCTGAGAAACCGCCACAGGATTCCAGCAGGTTATCACTCTCAGATGGCGTTGGAGCTTCGAGAGATGCTTTTCAGGGCAGATGAGGACGGCCCGGGATCAGGGTTTAGGGTTTTCCTGGTTTCAGGGTTGAGTTTTAGGTTGGGAGGCGAGGGGGAGTCAAGTTTGGGTTCGGGGTTTCTGGCAGCAGAGTGTCTAATATAGGGGCCTTAGTAATTCCCTATACTATTTTGGGGGTTCCTTATTATAATTATGGTATAGTGGGCCCCAAAACCCTATTCTAATTATTAAAGCCCCTATATTAGCATCCGGTGCTTGAGTTCCTGTCCTCTGCCTGGCGGCCACGAAACATGCTTGGACTCGCATGTGTGTTCATTTCCACCTCGGTCGGACACGAATTCTCCACAAGGGTAAGCCATCGCAAGATGATGCATGTTCGCTGGTTTTCCATTGCCCATAATACTATTGCCATTGTGTGGTCGCTGCATCCCAAGCCACAGTTCGGAACCCCCACGAGAAGAGTGCCTCGTGTCGTGGCTGCCTGCTGTAGATCTGCGTGGGACTCTAGACTCTAGATGAGGCCAAATCACCGTGACAAACTGAGCTACAGACTATGGTGCATGTCACAGCAAGATTGTAGCACCGTGTGGATTGGAAGGGGTAGAATATACATGTGAATCAATGAATAGATACTGTAGATACAGCCATGCGACATACACATCGAGAAGGAGAGGGAAGACGTACTGCAGAAAGCGCGTAGTGATGCAGTGTCAGTCTCCACATCGTAAGTAATGCGTCACAACGCTAGGCTGCCTTGGAGAAGAGATTTGGCCGCCGGCACACGCGAGATGCGCTCTCGCGGGAAGTGCCAACCGCTAGCACTGGATCGGAGACTTTGATTTGGTGTTTGGGGGCTTGTAATGGTGGAAGGGTTCAATATCGGATCTCGGGCGTTGGCTTCAAGGTTTGAGGACCTGTGGTGGGTTGTGAGGGCTTTATTGTGTCATCCTATGTGGGACTTAACAAATCAGTTCCAGCCCAGCGAAATCCATGACACGAGGATGGGGTAAAAGACCTCCTTCGGATGTCATCAAGTTTCAAGTCGCGGGGTGTATCCGGGAAGTGAAACAAGCTACTTGCCTAGGGGCGTCAACTACTCTTGCCTTTGGTTCCAGTGCAGTAGCAACAGCCGACCATCAGTAGTAGTAAGTCGTCGTCGTCGTGGTGGTGGCCGTCGTAGCAGAGGTGGTAGGAGAAGGAGTAGCAGTAGCAGCAGCTCCAAAGTAGCAGTACCAGCAGTGGCAGCAGCATCAGAAGAGGCAGCAGAAGTGAACAAATTCGTCGCGCCAGCAGCAAGAGCAGTAATTAGCAGCCGCTGTGTCGGAAGCAGTATTCGCAGCAGTTGCAGCACATTGCGTACCAGCAGCAGTCTGAGTAGTAGTCGTAGTTGTTTCCCGTCATCTTCAAAATACTCGGTGACACATATTCGTGCCCCCAGTAACCCGTAGAAGCATGAACAGCACCATTCTGAGGCTGCTGCGTTGGACTTTGGGTTATTGCCTTGAGGCCAGATGTTGCTGAGAATTACGGTTTCTTTAGATTGGCGCTTTACTGGGAAGATTACGGTGCTAAGGTGCATCACCTTCTTCTTTTTCAAAGCGCACGAGCGCTAGATGCTAGCACCGAAACAGACCTCACCTGAATGGTACGCAAAATGCCGTGGTGAAGGGTTATGCGAGGGCCGACGAAGCCGCAAAGAGCTTTGCAGGGGTGGCATTGCTCGGATTTCCTTTCCACCCGGGTCCATGGAGCAACGGCAAAGCTCTAATCACTTGTATGGGGATCGAGTGTATCGAGACATGGACCAGGCTTGTCGTAATCGCAAGCGGTGCCGAAGACCAGGATCCCAAGCCCTGAAGCCCAAAGATGCTCCGCTCCACACGGCAAGCTTTGGCATTGGAGTGTAAGCGGCTCAACGCTGGCTTCTTTTGGGGGGTTTGTAGGGTTTGGAGATGCCAGTCAAGGGCTTGGGACCCCTCGACCGTCAGTACTGGCGTGTTTTCCGGAACCCTCAGTCTTGATACATCGGCTGATCCATAAAATTACGGTCGGCAAACAATCCTCGGGACCCTCGTCAAATCCTGAGCAGGCCTCTTTTGTTTAGGATGCAGGCTTCGTTTAAAGGCCTGAGATCTTGCACACTAGAACCAACTTGAACACATAAAGAACTAAATACAATTTGCAGTTTCGCGGCCTTAGCGTTCGTGATAGACCTGTCGTGTCTTGGCATGCTTCGACTTTGGGGGAAAGGGCGGGACGGGAAGCAGTTCACCGCCACAACGCCATGTTTCCGACGATTCAAGTTTGGAGATAGGAACTCTTTGTAGGACTCCCTAGGAAGCCTTGTGGGAACGCTGAGGGGGAAAAGAATCAGCCCTTATAGGAACCCTGTTTGGAACACGAAGAGGCATTGGGCTTTCCCGTGGCCGCCGGTGGTCTCTTCGTGCCGAGCCTCAAGGGGGGTTTGCTGCAAGAGATTGAGAGAGTGTCTGCAATGCAGAGCAAAGAAGGGCAAATACATGTATGTGTAGAAAGAGGCAGACAGATGGCAAGGGGGAAGACGAGAGAGACAAAGAGGGAGAGATGGAGGGAGAAACACAGACAGGGAGAGATAGGGTTTCGGAGATGGGGTTTCGGAGTTTCCACGCAGACTTGCTGTGGAGTCGGGAGTCGGGAGGTCGAAATTTCATGATTTCGATTCTTGAACACAGTTTACATATCGCATCAGGTTTATCAAGTCGGCTTTGACGTTGGTAGTGTCTACGTGTACCTGTGTGAGTCGTTTTCGCTGTTCTGATTTTGTTCAGTTACTTGGTGGTCCATGGGTAGTTATAAGTAGGGTTATAAGTAGGATAACTATAATTATAGCCCATATTGGGGAACTTATAACCCCACTCATAACTACCCATGAACCTCCAAGTAGACTGAGGGTGATGGAGGTTGTGCAAGAAGTCCGAAGAGGATTCGTTTCGGGGTTTGTGTTGGATCTTTGCTTGGTGTTCTTTCACCGAAAGGTTGGAGGCCAAAGTGAGATTCACACGCCCTGAGGGTAGCATGGAGCTTTGCATCTACGATTCAACTGAGGGTTCGACTCTTAAGAGCTTGGATTCCAGGCAAGTGCGGGCAATTTTAATTTATAATAGAACACCATGCAATAGAGCATAACAGAGTATAAGACAGCACAAGATAATCCACCATGGTCCAACAAGATAATGCAAACTATGATATATTGTAAAAAAATGTAATCAAACTATAATGAAGTGAGCTGTCGTATATTTTTTACTATGTATTTGACTCATGTTTTCTGGATCTCTCAGCTGTCAAGGCGTCCTGCGTCGCACGAGACTGCGGAGACTGGGACCTTGGTTCTAAGGGTTTGGAAGAAGGATGTCTCATAGTCAGTAAGAATAATGATGACCATTATAGTTATACAGGATAATAATCAGAAGAAGAAGAAGAACACTGCTGATCATATTCAGAATAGTTATAGCCGTAGTCCTAGTGACTCCATCCTCGGCTGATGCCCGATGCTTTCCATCCTACACCCTGAACCCTAAACCTTAAACCTTACCAGCGATTCGACTCCAAATCCGAAACCTTAAAGCCTTGACGGCCTAAGTTCCAAAACCCTAAACGTTAAAGCATGTTGGGCGGTCGGAACCTTTCGGAGCCATTTTGCGATTTCGCTGAATCGCCGTCGCGACCAAAACATACCTAAATCCTATCAAAACCCTGTATCTCACAAGCCGAAAACCGAGATCCTGAACCACGAGCCTGGAGCGGAATGCCTGAAGCCGAGCGCCTACACCCTCCACAGCTCGGCTGCTGCTGTTAGCCTTCCTGCTAAGTGGACTGCGAGGGACACGTGAACGTCATCGTGCAAAATCTGCGAAACCGTTGCTGCAGAAGGCCTGCGAAATCTTCCTGTTTTCCCAAAAATTGGCTGGATTTCACGATTCGCTTAATCGCCGTCGCGACCAAAGCATACCTGAACCTGTCTAGATCATCTTGTATCCCACAAGCCGAAAACCGGAATCCTGAACCACATGCCTGGAGCGGAAAACCTCAAGCCAAGCGCCTACACCCTGTACCACTCGGCTACTGCTGCTAGCGTTGCTGCTACCTGGGCTTCCAAGGACATCTCTGAACCTAATCCTAATCGTGCAGAATCTGCGAAACCGTTACTGCGGAAGGCCTGCGAAATCATCCGGGTTTTCTTGTTTTGCGATTTCGTGTAATCGCCGTCGCGGCTAAAACATATCTACATCCTGTATGCCGAGACCATGTGTGCACACAGCGGCGTGACTTGCGACAATGACTCTGCGACAATCCAAGACCGGAGGAAACCCAGGCCGTTTCATAGCAATCTCTTGCGTTGCTTACCCGGGCCATTCTATAGGGACGCTTGGGTGTCTCTTGGCATCCACCCACGGAGTCATCCAGCCAACGTAGCCCGGGCCATTTCATAGTAATCCCATGCCTTGGTCGGGGAAGGTCACCCGCGATCCCGAGGTTGGCCGGGCCATTTCATAGACCACTATCTCTATAGAATGACCGAGCCAACTTGCCCCTGTATATTCAAAGGGGGATCCCTAAAACCTCTAGAGTCTAGAGCTCAAAGCCGTATGCAGGAACCGGGTACCCTAAACCCCTAAACCCTAAACCTCAAAGCCCTAGAGTCTAGAGTCTCTGGAGCTCCAAGGCAACCCGGTACATCCCTACAACCGTGGCGTTTGCCATCTCCGGGCCGGAGCAGCCCGCGCTGCTTCGCGGGATTTCGACCTCGCAGCGGCTAAGCTTCCTACAGTTTCAAGGGGGTGGGGTTTAGGGTTTGTTTGTGGGGTCGGGCTCCAGAGTTTGGGCGTGTTCAGGATTTAGGTTGTTTATTGGGCAAAGGGGTTTGCCTTTTTGGGAAAAGGGGGTTCAAAGTTTAGTGTTTGGCTGAAGGCTAAGGCGTCTAAGGTTGGTGTTTGGGGTTTATGCATGGCAAGATGTAGGCGCCATAGAAATTTACAACAAGAGGTCTTGAGTCTCAGTGTTTCAGGTTCAGGAACTTGTGTGTAAGGCTATCAGCCCGAGTAGCCAGTGAAAAGGCACATAGGCAAAAACATTTCATCTTATTGGTGGAAGGGTCTCTGTAGAATGGGATCCACGAAACCTGTGCACTGGATCCTCGCGTTTATATGCCTTGTTGAGGTTTTTGCATTATCTACAGCCATGCTGGCTGTTGCTTCAAGAAGATAATATCACCACGAGGATTGCCGACGTGATACAGATATGTAATGTAATGCTTCCTATATCCTACGAACCTTAAACACTCGTGCAAAATCCTATAACAAATCGTTCGTCCTACAGACCGTATGCGCATAAGTATGCATTCTTTCCGCCAGATTGGGATCATAGGTGGCATGGGCTGCCAACTCCTTGTGCTCTTCGAGCCCAGGTAAGCAGGTGCATTGGTCGTGATCTGACTCCCCCGCCATTGCTGCACGGGCCCCGGAGTTTCATGGACTGTCAAAGAGCCATGAGGAGATCTAAGTATGTTCTGTTCAGGTGTGTTGAGTTGGACTCTTGCACCAGAGCCTGGGACACACGTGGGATTGCGTGGGCTGTGCTGGCACTACGTAGGCAAAGACCTGAGGCTGGTGCGTCGTGCGCTAGCGGGAGCGATGCTCCCTGAGCGACAGGCACATGCCGGATGTTCCGCACTAAGTTCCCTCCATAGTAAGATACTGACGACAGCCACAAAAACCAGAATCTTGGCAGGAAATCGGGTTATTCATGGCAGAATCCGAGCAACAGGGCGTGATGCGCACTGTTGACCCGAATTTAAGACGCAGTTCCAAACTTCCAAACCAGTCCATGACATGCAGACAGTAGACTACGAGCTCTCGTGGACCCATCGTGCGGTGCTGTCAGGCAGAAGTTTGGGCCGACTTTGAGCTGGTTAGGCCCGGGTGGAATTTTTGGCTTCGCGAGGGCTTCGTCCCAAAAACCGTAAACCCTATAAATCCTAAAGAGGGCTCAACCCTTAACGCTAAACCCTAATAGGGCTGAGCTTTCGGTTTAGGGCCCGGGTGTCAGGAGATGCCGTTGGGGTAAATGAAAGCCTTGGGGCCTGTGTTTTTAAGGCTGGCTGTGAGTTGAGGCCGCTGACCCATAACTGCCAATCCAGGGGGTCGAAGCTCTTTTATGGAAAATCCGCAGTTGCCGGGGTTTCCAAAGTAAAGCAACACCCTGCGGTTCACTGGCCACTGCTCGAAACCCGGCCAACACCCGGAACCCCAACAAACCCTAACTCTAAACGCAAGTGACCTACATTAAACCCCAAGCCCCAAATCAAATCCCGACTCACCGTTCCCTGCGTGCCCTTGAACCCTAAACCCTAAACCGAACTCTTTGGTTTCGGTGCCCGAAAGCCTCAGGCGCCGGGTAGCCAACATGGGCGCGTCCCTCCGGTCGATCCAGCGGGAGCTTGCCCGGGATCCGTGGCGCTCGTAAGGTTTCAGGGGTTTAAAGTGTTTGGTGTTTTAGGGTTCAGGGTTTAAGGTCTATGGTTTTCCAGGGAGTTTCAGAGCTGAGGTTTTGTTGGGTTAGGTTTGTTTCTAACCTGTGGGTTGTTTTAGGCATGCAAGGTTCAGGGAGCTTTTCGCATTGTTCGCCAGTTTATACAAGAGGTCGAGAAGCCTGTCTTGGGTTCTCGTGTGTGGCTACAGACTCTGCCAAAAAGCACCCAAGGACAAAATCAGCTCCTTCGCCACTGGGACCGCAATTCATGAAATCTAAGTCTTATGCGGCTTCATAACGGGGCATCAGTAGTTGATGTGTTTCGCATCATCATCATCATCATCATCATCATCATCATCATCATCTAGCCACAGTGCTTTTCCGATCCGGTTGCAGATGGCCTCTTGTTTCCGTGGGCTTGGGACTCCAAGTTTTAGGCAAGTCCGTGATTGGAACAGTCTGCGGGTTTCTTTTGGGGGGATGCCAGCCCATGAAGCGTCTTATGAGAGGAATTCCGTGCCTGAGCCTAAAACCGCATTGGGTTTGGGGCTTGAGGCTGCGAAATCTGCGATTTACTTGGAGGTTCATGGGCAGTTATAGGTAAGGTCAAACGTAGTGTAACTATAAGTATAGCCCATATTAGGGGACTAATAACCCCACTTATAACTACCCATGAACCTCCAAGTATAGGGAGCATCAAGGCGCAATACCAACGCATGGTGGTGCAAGCCCAGCCCGCGAATGCACCGCACCGGCACTGGGCTGCTGCAATTCTGGCCGCCTGTCCACTGTTCTTATGGGTTCGGGTTAGGGGCTAGGCTGTGCGATTTTGCTTATGGAAGCACAGTCGTTTGAGACTTCTCGTAACAAGGGTTGTGTGAGAAGTTTCTATACATGAACCGTAGATCGTCGGGGTTTCGACATGTTCGGCATGACCAGACAGGGTTTCACCGAATCCTTGCTAGCCTGGTTTCAATAAGCCGAGACAAGAAGCCGCAGGTGTCGCATACAGTTCGACTTCAGGCAGGGACATTCCGGTGGGTTTTCCCCACATGTTTCTGCAAAGCCATTTGAACAGCTTCAACCCAGAACCGCAAAACCATTTAGATCCTAGACCCTCTAACGTATTACAAGGTAGAGGGTGCATGCATATGTACACACACACACATATATATATATATATATATATATACGTATGTATTTATTTTTATTTATTTGTTTAATTATTGTGTAAATATATGTATATATATATATATATATATGTATATGTATATTATATAGACATATACATGTGTATATATATATNNTATATATGTATGTATGTATACACATAAGTAAAGCCACGTCAGAAGCGAGGCACGGACTTTCGGCCAGCAGAGCGCGGTCAGTCGCCTCACGGAGGCTCTGGAGTTTCCCTTTGGGGCCCCGTCTTCGGATCCTTGCTATTTTGGGGTTTAGGGGTCCTTCTGCGGATTCTAGTATCTCTAGTTTTAAAGGGGTCAAACTAGGTAACTAGGGATCCTACGATTAAGGGGAATCTTACTCAAACTCGAAAGTTGAACCCTAAATTCCAGCTCTATGAAGAGAACAGCCAAACCTTCCCCCAGATCCAACGCGATAATCCCCTAAACCCTAAACCCT